ATAAAAATTCTCTACTACATCTTGAACTTTCAACGTCTATATCTTCTCCATTTGAAGTATAATTTAACTCGACCTTATTGTGATTCTAAAAGCCGTGCAATCAAAAACGATCTAACATATGATATGACCATTTCCTAAGGTCTTCAATGGTTGCATCTCTAGTACATTTAGGCTGAATTCTACGTCGATATAGTGGGTGGTAGCGATGATATTAGGATCGGTATTGGTTTGGTGAAGGTAGCAATGACAAAATTATTTTTCATTGTCATTTTTTAGAGTTTTTGGTTTGTTTTCTAGTCATTTTTGTTTTTTCCTTTTATCTTTGTAAGTTAAAAATATGGGTAGAATCATCTTTTAACACAAAACTTGTCTTTCAAAAATTAAACCGACAGTTACCTGTATATGGGTATCTAAATGTTATGTTTATGAAGGTTATGAACTCATATGTGCAACCCATCAAAGGCTGGAGACCTCAGGTGAAATATCCTCTATGTCAATACAAAATGAAATCAGGCTTGACCATAAGAAGACCGGTTCTCTGATCACATCTAAGTTTGTTAGGCTACAGAATCAAGGTAAGTTACAATGATGAGTATTTGAAACTTATCAAATTTTAAATTTTCATGATTTTACTCATGTTACTCCATATTTGAAGAAACCGAAACAATTTCTCCCGTTTGGCATCCATTTTTTTCTCATTCTCATTCTCATTCTTTTTCTCTTTTTTCATTTCAACCACACATTCTATCAATAAAATAATATTACACATAAACCTAAAAATTCTCCTTACTTTTTAACTACACATGCTTCCATCAATCACTATTCAAAAACACATTTTTTCACAAAAACTGGTGTCAAACACCCCCTAAGTAATACTTTGGGAAATCATCCCAAAGGGCACGAATTGTAGTCTGGTGGATTAAATCGAATATTAGAATAACTCAAGTCTTGAACCTTTCATCCCGTGAGACATACAGAACAACAAACAGTTGCATGATGATATGATATCCAAAAATTTTATTAATTTTCAAATACAGTAATTAAGATAAAGTTAAAGGTGGCTACAAAATTCTTGTTAAACATGTTAGCATTACGTCCTAACATAGAAAAGTGTTGCAATTGACATCCATAACTACTAGAGAGTGCAGGCAAAACGAGCAATAGC